GATTACGGTTTCAAATACATAGTTGAAGTAAATTTATCAATATTTACATCTTTTTTCCATTGATCCAAATATTTCAGCAAAATAACTACATAAGGGATATGTCCATGATCCATATTATCCATAGAATCAAAATCAAAAGGTTTAACATACTGTTCTAAAGCTGGAAAAGGTACATCAAGCCGTAGATCAATGATATTCTCCGGATGTGTTTCCACAACTATAAGAGTAGTTCAATAATTAATATGTGAAATAATAAAAAGACATTCATGAATATTATTATCCATTACCGGTATGTTCCGGAATCATAATACGAAAATATCCGACGAATCCAATCGTACGTACAATAAATAGTGGAATCTTTGCATTCCATAAAGCTTCTGATAATTTTAAAAGTGGTTTTTCTGGAACACCAATGGATATTACAACGGTGAATTGTAAGAAATAGTCTATTCTGTTCTCAATAAGAGAAATAGGATCCTAACACACAAAGAATAGATGAATGGAATTGTTAATAAGTCATATGTATATCTATCACAAAAATATTAAAAATATTTTGTAATATTAAATGTATTTAACCTCTGCAAGATAATCTCCCCTCACATCTTCATTTAATTCTTGTAAGAGCTCAGTAACAGCCTGAGCTCTGTTTGTACCAATTCTATCCCCATCCAAGAAAAAAGAAATCCCAGCGTCAGCGCCATCGACTTCTTTTCCATCGACTACAGTAAAGGATCCGATGCCTGTATTTATTGAGTAATTTAGTGATCAATTTGTCTTTTTTTAGACAAATCGATAGTTATATATGTTAAACTATAAGAAAACCCACCGGGTAAGACTAAATCCTTAAGGACCTCACATCCTGTTGCAGTTCCATTAATAAGACACACCCTTGAGTTTTCTAGGGCTGCCTGTCCACTTGCTTGCCACAAGCTATTTATAAATATATTAACTTTAAGTTGATCGCTATGAAGATATTAATAGTATTCAAAAGCATTTACCGAAGTTGGCGATCATATTTTTGAGTTTTTTTATCAATGTTCATTCTGCAAAAAAATCAAAGATGCAATAAGTTGAATTTCGGTAGAGATGTCCGAGTTCAGATTTTTATCCTCGAATTTGCATGTTGTGATCATCCAATCAAATTCAATGCATCTTGAGAGATGTTACTACTGTACTATAACGATAAAACATTATACATAGCAAATTCGCTGTCGCACGTCTGAAATCTGTGACAGGTTATGTCGATCACCAAATCGAAAGAGCGTGCAGATTAGAATTAAGCACAG